TTTACACGACCTCACCCATTTGTCTTTGGTAGTTACTGCCTACACCTGACAGGGTTGAACTCCATTAGTCACGTCTTCTCAACTAGAACTCCGAGAATTTCCTCACGAAGCTAGTCACTAGTGAGCACACAAGACCGAAGGTCCCGGGTTCAAATCCTGTTAGGAGCAGGAGTCGTGGATGCGCACTACTAATGAGTCCCATACCAGGACGAAACAGCCATTGTCCAGTGCTTCCAGGTTTCTAATGGTGGTCTAACAATGATTGATTGATGATTTCAAATACATTTAATACTTCTATCTATGCATGTATCAAGCTAACCATGTCTGTAACGTTGCACATGAATTCTCTAGTCATTATTTCCAAATACAAGATGATATGACTGAGATGATGGAGAAATTTTTGTAGCTCAGCTGAATGATTGTGAACTGGAGTTTTGATTCTCTGATCTGGATGTTTTAATTATGACTGAATACAACAAAGTAAAAGACTCAAGTAAATTCTTACGCATTAAAATTTTATCCAAAACTTTGTTTCAACGAAATATATCGATCGATAACAAAAATTAATGTACTCAGTAATAAAATTGAGGAAATACACGAAATAATTTACTGAGATTTCCGTAGAAAATGTGAATTGAAAATATTTGTATATCCCCATGGCATTGCATGGAATAAAAGTGACATAACTTTCATTTCGAAAGAAAATAAACATATTTTTTTATTTAAATATACATGTGTATAAATGAATCTAGAATATAACTATGTTCAATGTTTCAATAGATTCCGGTGACTGTTGTTTACATGTATCAATGGGAAGAAAGATTTTGTTACACAACAAATCTATAGTGAACTCTGTATAAATCTGTGTTCCTTTCTTACTTACTTACTTATGCACTTACTTACTTATGCACTTGCTTACTTACTTACTTACTTACTTACTTATGCACTTACTTAACTACTTACTTACTTACTTACTTACCTACTTACTTACTTAATTATGCACTTACTTACTTACTTACTTACTTATGCACTTACTTACTTACTTACTTACTTACTTACTTATGCACTTACTTACATACGCCTGTTGCCTGCTGCCAACCAGTATTTTCCAGCCTACTCTGTCCTGTGCCTGAAATATGTGCTAATTCCAACAGAAAAAAAATCTAACTCCTTCAGTGAGAACGTGAAGAACAGAAGAGAAAAAAGTTTATTTGACTACTGAATCATACATGTACAACTACTCATTTCTATTCTATCTCCTTAGAATAGGAAGTTATTTCTTGACTATTGATATGTACTTGTCCTTAGGGACATTATATACCGGTCATTAAATGATCTTCTTAGTAGGGCACTTCTTATTGGTTCAACGTAGCAGAAACCAGTGTTCCTGAACAGGAGAATAAATTACAGTATGTTAGTACATTAGTGTCACTAAAGTAGTTAGGAGTTCTATCCTTGAACATTTTCCCGACCGTAACTGTTACCTTGACGTGGTGGTCGAGCATGCCTATCGTCATGACCCAACCGAGCTATACTGGCTGGAACATATGCTCCTGAAGGTTCTACCATGTCAGGCAGGTCGATTGGAGAACGATGAGACTAAAAGCAGCTACTCAAGGTCTGAGGGCGAAGTCGTACTGCTGACTGTGATGGAGGGGTGTGACAGCGGTAAGGTGTTTCCCTCGGACAACCAGCATCTGCAGCGATGCTGCCTTCTCACAAGGAAGGAAGGGTTAGAGAAGGTTGACCCTAAAAATGTCACACCTCAGCTTATCTCACGGATTTCTGTCTCCCTGGGTAAGGGTGCCCACTAAGGGCCTTTTAGAGCGGAGCTAATACTAAAAAGCAGTTGACCCTTGCGCTCTGCGGTCACACATCCAGGTCTCTAAGACTAACACTACCTTCCTTTTCACGTCCTTCAAGAATCAACCTTCCAAGGTGTAGGCAGTCGGGAAGTGACAACCGCCCTCATACCCATAACAGCACGAGAGACCAAATTGGTCAAAATCAAATCCTTCTTACCCTTTAACAGTACCCTTGAACATTTATGAGTAATTTTAATCACTTCACTCATTCATATATTGATTTTTAAAATTGTTTATAGAATTCGTCAAAGATTTCTTCATTCTTAAAGCCAAATTCTGAATTTTTGTTACAAAATGTAAAATATATATTATATCGTTTACCGGAAATAGATGATGGCTTGCAGTGGAATATTGTCTAAGATGCACATTTTGTCTTACGTAGGACTTGTTATCTAAGTGTACCAGCAACCTGGAGTTGATGTTCACTCCGGGACTCGAACCCAGAGTACTGTTTGCTTCAAATGCCAACAGGTTATCTAATTATCTATTGAGTTCAGATCATCACTAGCTTGTCATTTGGGGTGAATATTAACTCATTCATCATGCTCATTTAAATTTTCCAGCCTTATGTTTAAGACCACAATCGATCAGTCCCTCTGTTAATAATCTTTTCAACCCAATCATGATATCGAAACAATCCACACGGAATGCATTCCTAAAAATCACTGAATAAGGATGAATCAACTCATCAGTTGCTTGTTTCTTTTTGCACATGAACTAACTCTACTACTCATCAGTAGTATGCATTCACGACTCCTGCTCCTAGTGCCTTCGGTCTCGCACTCGAACGCTTTACCTCTAGACCATTGGGACAGCGTGTAACAGTGTTAATATCTAACATGATCTGTCTTTCTTTAACTCTATATCATAAAAAATTTCACCGTAAGTTCATCGAATAAATTCATCCTTTCAAAATTTTCAGTTTAAATTTGATTTTTTTTCTCATCAAAAGTAAATAAATTGTACATTTTTGAAACCATCAACCAATCATTGTTAGACCACCATTAGAAACCTGGAAGCACTAGACGGCCGTTTCGTCCTGGTATGAGGAATCTTCTCCGAGTTCTAGTGGGAAGACGTGACCAGTGAATTTCAACCTGTTCGGGTGTAGACAGTGTCTACCGAGGTTGCGCAACTCCGTGAATTTGATCAAGTTAGACATGAACACCGTTAGATACCGGCTCAGCGGTCCGATGGGCCTACAATACCGAAGGCCCTGGGTTCGAAACCTGCGGGATGCAGGAGTCGTGGATGCGCACTGCTGAGGAGTCCCATACCGGGACGAAATGGCCACCGTCCAGTGCTTACCGAGTTTCTAATGGTGGTTTAACATTGATCGATTCATGGTTTCGAAAATGTGTAACTTAACAATCTTCCCAACCCCGTAATGCAAATTGCACATTCATCAGAGATTAATAACCAGAAAGAGGACAGTGAATAATTGTAATCAGTAATAGGTAATCAGTAGTAAGTATCCAATGAGAATTGTAAATCTTGTGTTCTATTTGTATGATGGATGGTATGTGGTGTATGTTTTGTTGAACAGTAGTTACATATTATAGTGAAGTAGCTGTTTTTTAGATTTTCAATGATATCTCATGAAAACATTGAGTGACTTGATTCAGAATTGTTCACAACTTCTTTAAATACTCTTACCTTTGTCTTCTCTTAGATTGTAAGTTTTAAAACTACAACTTGTAAATGAATCCTATTTTACGATAAAGGATATTGTTACTATTCCTCGATAATTAGAGAATTTTTCATGAAATCAAGAATCATTGTTAGACCTCGATTAGAAAACTGGAAACACTGAAATACGGCCATTTCGCGTCCTGGTATGGGACTCATCAGTAGCAGTGTACATCCACGACTCCTAACACTCGCAGGATTCCAACCCAAGACCTTCAGTCTTGCGCGCGATCGACTAACATCTGGACCACTGAGCTGGCTGGCACCCTACGGTGTAAATGTCTAACTCTGGTCAATCCAGGGATTTTACGAAACCTCACCCATTTGGTTACTGTCTACGCTCAACAGAGTTGACCTCCATTGGTCACACCTTTTCAACAGAATTTCCTTACAAAGCTAGTCACTAATAATCACTGCTGATGATTCCCACACCAGGGTGAAACGGCCATCTTTCAGTTCTTCCAGGTTTCTACTAGTGTTGGTCTAATAACTCTAGAACTATTCTGGATGATATGATCGCGTTGTGTTTACACAATCTAGCCGACGTGAACTGGTTTATACGGAGATCAGTTTCTACCAACTAACTAAATTAATCAATGTCTGTAACAAATATAACCGTACGATGCCGAGTATGGATGGGCAATCGGGGGCACAGTTGTTGGCGTCGCAATATATCGAGAGTGTGCCTGCCGCCGTGTCCAAGCAGCAGGAACTAGTAAACGCTACACGTTGGATAGATGCCGTACCCATTCCAGACCAGCGGGCAAGAACAATGACCGAAGTGGTGATCCGGTATGTTGTAGCGCGTCACGGAAAACGGAAGGTGATATTAACTGACCAGGGTCCCTGTTTTGAAAGACTACGACGACAGCTTATTAAAAGGGGGGACGAGTGTGGTGTGAGCTACTTATGAGTAGTATATGACGTGAATGTCAACGTAATGTCTGGGAGCAGAAGAATGGGGGAAGATCAAGAAAGGAAGAGTGGGGGGAACACAATGGAATTTGTATGACACCCATGAACAGTGACAATGGATTGATGTTTTGCAACAGGAACAGTCCAGTTCGATATGATGAACTGATATTTTGCAAATTAACGATTTACGATATAGTTTTCCGATGATTTTACTGAGTAACTCTGTAATTTTCGTTAAATACAATTCGGTTGCCCCACCTTGTGTTCTCGTTCACTACATCGTACTGAACATTCAATGTAAATTTCATATTAGTTTCAACAACAACAAAATCAATTCTATTCAATTTTCAATTTCATTATTATACAATTTAAACAAACAATCAAAAAAGTGTCATTTAGCATTTTTCATTTACAATTCAAGTTCACAAATTAAAATCACTATAATATCTAAAGTATCTCTATGTGTACATGAAATGAAGAGATTATTTATTCACTTACATTAAAAATGTATTCTTTAATTTTCTTTATATACTTGCTTTGTTTTTACAGATTATTGAACGTTGAACACTGAATGAATTATTGAACACTGAACATTGAACATTGATCATCTGTTTTGAATCTGTTTTGTTGTTTTATTTAAAGATATTCCAATGCTTGTGGACATGTCAATAATTCTCTTAATAAATTCCATGTTTGTTTAGCTGTAATATCCATGCCTACAGTGGAATAACCTTGAAAAATATTTAAATTCGGTAGAAAATAATGTGGACAACGACGATGTTGTAAACATGAGATTAATTGCAATAAAATACCATTGATTCGATCACTCAATGTAAATTGTGTCCAATCTTCATCATTTGGATGTTTTTCACATTCATGTAGGACAAGTGTTTTAATGTCATATTCTTTGATAATTGAACAAGCTGATAATGAGGTTGATGTTGAAGGCGCTGAGGATAATTTGAAATTCTTACCACTATTGATCTCATCATTTGTTCCAGTTAAATGTCGATCAGCTAAAGTTTTTAAAATACTATAACATTGTCTACGTATTGTATGATTCAGTAATAAACGTTCTTCAGCATGATAAAAATCTAATAACCATGTATCACCTTCAACAGAACTTTGTTTATCTTTCGTATAAATTGATTCTTGACTTAATAAACAAAATCCTTCATATTTCACTTCATTGATCAATTGATTTGGCGGCCATTTCAAATTAGCATTGTTTGAATGCATTAAATCAGTGTTTAAATGATTTGTGATTGGCCATTGATTAGCTGATCTAGGCCATAAACCTTTACAACGAAATCCTGGTGTAATTTGTAGAATATACTTATCATGTATACATAATCTTACTTCAGTTGTTTGTCCTAACATACGGACAATATGGCGGTAGGCAGATTTTTGTATAGCTTGACCAATTAAACTATGAAATCGTGCACGTATTTTTCTAGCGGATAAATAACCTGAAGCAGTGATAAATTCTACCCATAATGACATGGAACGTTTACGTCCATCGGATAATTTCAGTACAGCACCACCGGGAATAGTCCCATCGTCAATGAAGTTAAATACACCCATTTGATTTAAATAAAGTGTTATTTCAAAATGATTCGATGATAAAACACGTAGACCATCGTAATACATCTCATTACTACTAGTCACACAATCAGTAGCCGTAGTAGAAGTTGTTGTTGTAGCCGCGGTAACGGCGATATTCCCATTATCGATTACGTCATCATGACTATCCGTATCATGTTCACTGGGACGATCTTCATGTTTTTGTTGTTCCAATCGACTAGTACCATTCATCGTATCTTTCAGCTTCAATGTACTAATAAATCGTGGTTCTTGCAATTCAACTTCATGTAGAATATCTTCAGCTATTTGTATAATTTCGTGTAAGACTTTATCAATCTGTTGACGTCGTGTTTCAACACGATTTTGATAAAATGTATAAAAATAATGATAGATTGGATTTGGTATAGTTGAGATGTGTTGAATGAGTTGGGTGTGTCGATTGGAGGCTAACGTTTGAAGATGTGTATTGTAGTTATGACAATATTCCATAGATATGGGATCATGATGATGAGTTTTATGCATGTTAGTAGTATGTTCATTGTCATGATTATCAGTAGTATAATTATTATTAGTAGTAGTATTGGTATTAGTGTTATTTTTATACATGAATCGATGTGTATAAATATTGGGCAATAGATCCATGAGAATTGGTTTATCCTGGATTTGTATTTTTCCCGCGTTTTTTTTTATTTGGCGGACAAATTTGTCCAATAACAAACAAACAATGAAACGATATTCACAATTGAACAGTTGTTCGTCTGCTTCAATTGTACAATTCAATTTCAATTTGAAACATATTCAACCAAATTCACACACACATAATGACTTTGATAAAAATTTTGTAAGTAGTATATTTATTATTTACTGAAAAAAATTTGAGATTATGAAATATAAACTAGTATTTATATCTTTTGCTGTGCGTGATTTTGTCTTCTGCCTCAATAAATGAGAATTCTTGTTAAAATCAAATGAAAATTGATCACTGTGAGCAATAAACTACTTGTTTGAATGGTAAGTATTAGTAGTATTTGTAGTGGTAAACTTTGCACACAAATAACAATCAATCGTCACAAATATTTATATATATCCATCCATCCATCTTGACAAAACACTATGTTTGTTGAACTAAACATTAATTACGGTTTAATGTCCACTATGGGAGATGGACATTCTCTCTAGTCACAACAAAAAAAGTCAGTGTTCATTATTCTCTCTGTCATCGTCTTCTTCTACTTAGGTTGCATCCAATTGGTGTAACTTAAACTATACACACCCCATGTACATCTGTCTTTCTATCTCTCTGCGTGTGTGAGCGTATGTATCATCCTTCCCTAACCCCTCAACGAATTTTCTTCTGAATGCTTAAAAGACTAACTTACACTACTTCAATCGTGTAGTACAATGATGATCATTGTACCTAAGTGAAAAATTAACAGGTATCGATTTTTTCTCTACTTTTGAAAAAAAAATTTGATAATGCGGTCCAATCAGATTTAGGCTAAAATTGAAAAATGAGAATTGAGATAGCTATTTTTTAACCAATCAAAAATTCGCCTGATTTAGTTGACTGTATTCACAAGAGATAAATTTTTGTTTTCTGGTCGTGTTCAATTTTCAATAAATTAATTCATTAATAAAAATGAAATTCAATTGATCAGTTAATAGAGTGATTGATGATTTCAAATGTGTAAAAATAAACATTAAACTCCATAACTGTAATTAGAGACAAAGTCGTGAAATGTGCTCACTGGTGCCTAGAAGCTTTGTGAAGAGATTCTCCAAGTTCTAGTGAGAAGACATAATGATTAGACTTTAGAAATCATCAATCAATCATTGTTAGACCACCATTAGAAACCTGGAAGCACTAGACGGCCATTTCATCCTGGTATGGGACCCATCAGTGACAGTGCGCATCCAAGACTCCTGCACTTCGCAGGATTTGAACCCGGCAACCTCTGTATTGTGCGCGAACACCTAACCATCGGACCACTGGGCCGGCATCCAACGGTGTTAATGTCTAACTCAGATTGGTCTAGGGATTTTGCGTGACCCCACCCATTTTTCTTTGGTAGTTACTGCCTACACCCGACAGGGTTGAACTCCATTGGTCACGTCTTCTCAACTAGAACTCCGAGAATTTCCTCACGAAGCTAGTCACTAGTGAGCACTGTTACGATATTTTGGGGCACAGTTTTGGAGGTTTGCGTTTTTACACTTTAGAAATGAATAGAGTTCAACCCTGTAGGTTTTAGGTAGTTACCTACCGAAGACAAATGGTTGAGGTTGCACAGTTAGACATGAACACCGTTGGATGCCTGCTCAGTGGTCCAGAGGCTAGGCGTTCGTGTGCAAGACCGAAGGTCTTGAGTTTAAACTCTACTAGTTTCAGGAGGCGTGGATGGGCACTTCAGAAGAGTCCCATACCAGGATGGGAAACAGCTGTCTTTCAGCGCTTACAGGTTTCTAATGGTGGTTGATTGATTTCAATGTGTGTCTCAATAACTCCAGCTGAAAAAAATCATACAGATATCTTGTGAGGCTTGCCTAGATATGTACTATTAGGAGGTTAAAAACATTGTTAGCAAAGTTGGAATGGATTGGTATCGCACAGGTCGTGGTCAGAAATATCAATAGCAAGATTTAAATGACTAAAACTTCATCCAGTTTCGCAAGTGACTGGCTATACGGAATCTATAGATAAGTGACGGTGTTTCAAAGCGAACCATACTAGGTTCATATCCCGGAATGAACACCAACTCTGAGAAGTGTCTATTTGACTTTCAGCTGAAAATGAGTCTCGAATAGGATGCATTTATGACTCCGCTGAAACTCCTCTATGCACCACAGAAATCGTACTTCTATGGATCAGTCCTATAGTACATATCACCAAGACGTCAAACAAACTTGACACTGGCCATACACCCCAGTTAATAATACACTTACTTACTTACTTACCTACTTTCGCCTGTTACCCCCAATGCAACATAGTCCGCCCACCAGTTTTCACCAACCAACTCTGTCATGGGCTTCCCTTTCCAATTCTGTCCAATTTTTGTTCACTCTTCTCATACCTTTCTCTGTTTCTCGACGTAATATGTTCCTTGGACTTCCTCTTCTCCTTTTGCCTTGAGGGTTCCAAGTGAGGACGTGTTTTGTGACGCAGTTAGGTGCTTTTCGTGGTGTGTGTCCTATCCACTTCCACCGCTTCTTCATCATTTCCAACTCCACTGGAATCTGGTTTGTTCTCTCCCAAAGTAGGCTGGTGCTGATTGTGTCTGGCCAACGAATCCGAAGTATTTTGCGTAGACAACTATTCATAAATACTTGTATCTTCTGGATGATGCCTTTCGTAGTTCTCCAAGTTCCCACTCCATACAGTAGAACTGTCTTCACATTTGTATTGAAAATCTTGATTTCGGTTTTGGTTGAAAGTTGATTGGAGTTCCAGATATTTTTCAATTGTAGAAATGCAGCCCTTGCTTTGCCAATCCGCACCCTCACATCTGCATCGGATCCACCTTGATTGTCAATGATGCTGCCAAGATATGTAAAGGTGTTAACGTCCTCCAAGGCATCTCCATCAGGAGTGATTTGGTTAGTGCATGTTGTGTCGCATCGGAGAATTTTGCACTTTTCTTTATGTATGTTGAGACCTGCTACTGAAGAGGCTTCTGCTACACTGGTTGTCTTCTCTTGCATTTGTTGTTGCGTGTGCGATAGAAGAGCCAGATCATCTGCGAAGTCCAGATCGTCCAGCTGAGTCCTTACTGTCAAGCTTTACATTTTTTTAATCAGAATAGTATATATTTTCATAATAATCATTCTTTTTCTTCCTATCTATTCAATATTCAATAAGTCTGCCTGTTCGTTTGCCTGTTTGTTTGTATATACGTACATAGTGTAGGTGTGTGTCTGTGTGTGTGTGTGGTCGTGAATTCAATCAAGTAGCCTTTCAAGTTTTTCATTTCAACTTCATCATCATGACAAGTTTAATTCCCTTTAGGCGTAAATAATCAAAACGGCAACAAAATTCAATGTCATCTTGAATTAACTTCATATGTTTTTTTTAGCATGGTCAACTTGGGACTACTCGCTAATGGTATATACTACTACTACTACTACTAATACCACTACTACTAACAATAATAGGAATTGATGACAAGAAGTGTGTGTGTGCGTGTGTGTCTATCTATCTACTGATGTTGTCAATGTTTCCCCATTGTTGTCTAGTTCAAACCATCGTCATCAAATAAGGTGAGGCATTAAGTGGTCGAAGAAAGCTTATTGAGTATGATGATGATGATGATGACTTTGTTAAGCGAAAATGCATTAAAGAGATTGTTGTGTATGTTGATCTATCCATCTGTGTGTGTGTGTGTGGCTGTCGTGATGGATAATTTTGATTACATTTAGTTAATGTCAATATGCATTAAGTCATCATCAGTGAAAGCATAATAATCACAATAATCACAAAAATAATGTTGTTATTTGTTAACTGATTAGAATTAAAAGTGATGTGAGAAGGTTGATGCTTTTGAAGTCTACAAATATATATATACATGTATGTGTGTGCGTGAGTGTATATGTATGTGAGTATGTGGAGAGAGGGAAACAATAAGATTCTCCGATACAACACCAGATTGATGGAGCAGATGTGGAAGATGTGTGGAAACCTTTACATATTAGGTTAGCAGCATTGATAAACCTTTAAAATCATGAATCGATCATTGTGTTAGATCAGTATTAGAAACCTAGAAGCTCAGAAAAACGGCCATTTCACGTCCTACCATGGGACTTATTAGCAGTGCGTATACACCGATTCTACTTCCAAGTTTCTAATACTGGTCTAACAATGATTCATTCATGATTACAAGGTAAAACTCCCATTTTCATAATGCAAAATCATTGATTAACGCAGTGGATTTGATGTAGGTAGGAAGTTAGGGCAACATTTCTAAAATCAATGAACAACTGTCAACATTAAAGTAAGCATTTTCAGTATGAGCGTCAACAAAGTTCTCTTGTATGAAGCAGTTAGTTGAAGAACTACAAAATCAGTCATCCAATAGATGTATGCGTTTATTGTCTACTCAGGATCCATTGAGGATCCGTTGACCAAACACAAGACAAGACAAAGTCTCACTTGAAATCCTCAAAACTGAAGGTGAAGAGGAAACTAGAAAACACGCTACCCCGACAAATGGAAGCAGATATTGAACAATTAAACTTTACATCTAGTTATAGACAGACAGATACAACGCAGAACTTCGTACGTAAGTACATCAGTTCAGTTTGTCATACCACATCAGCAGAGAGACGCAATTGTCAGTTCAAATCCAAGAGTGATAGAAATAGTCGAAGTATTACCAGTAATGGAGAAGATTAGGGTACGAAGATATGATTAGAGAAGTATAATTCAGTGAGATAAATTTAGAAAGAGAAAGATAGAGATTATGAAGAATTCAGAAGGTTAGAATTAGAGAGAACACAAAGAGTGGATGTACCTGCGCCAATGCAAACGATTCTGAGCCATGTCATTCAAGGTCTCTAACCATTGGTGACTACCGTCTTGCGGACCTCAACCAGGTAGTCTACATCTACCAACATGACTCTTGTAGAATACACTTTCAACGCCATATCAA